TCAAACCCAATGCCTAGGAAGTTGTACCAGTAACATTTTTGACTGTAACAGGAATTTCCATAGTCAATACATTGATCACAAATTCATACCAAGATCTCTTATAATTCCATAACAAGGCACCAAAGTCCAAGCACTGAGGATGTGAAATACTTAATTCTCCCGAGTTAGATATTTATATGTCCTTTGTCTCCTGAGTTATTTAGATGAATTGTAAATTAGATATTGATCCTTTGTTTTTTCTAGTTAAATTTAATCGTTTTGCATGTTTAACATTACGTACTTTGTAGAGTTGGCTAATTTCATGGGTTTGGTAGTTTGTTATTAATGAGTACTTTAAGTAGGTATGTTTAGATTGTTTGTAAGTTACATATCATTACAACTTGTAACATCTAATTAGTTGTTCTATTTGAGTAGTTTTTTCTTCATTGTTAACTACATGCTTTATCCTAATTTTCGTCAGTGTAGGAATTAATTATGTCCTTTACTGTCTATGTTAACTTAGAGGAAGTTGTAAGTTAGATATTGATTATTAATGGTTTTCTAGGTAATTTTTGTCAGTTTGCATATCTGTTATTACTATATACTTTGTGGACTAGGTAAAGTTTGATGGTTTGTCCATTTGATACTTATAAGTACTTTGTTAACTATGTATGTTTAGATAGTTTGTCTATTACATATCATTACCGCTGATAATATATAATTCATTGTTCTATCTGAATATTTTTTTTTCATAATTATTAAGTATGTGCCTTATCATCCTAATTTTTGTCAGTGTTTTCTTTCCCATTGATAAAGTTGAGCTTTGCTTTGGCTCCTTTTCCTATGTACATGAGACTAGAAACCTCATTTTCTCCTCATAATCTACAATTTGAAGTTCTTCCATACAGTGGCCACTTCATTGATAGTTATTTATTGCTTTAAGTTAAGTTTTCCAGTTCAATGCCCTACTGTTTTGACTAACCTTGGCTCTTTAGGTGTTTTGGTGAGGGGGTACAAACTTTTGCCCAACATCTTCAGTCTTTGCACTCTTTATTTCTATGGATGTCTGGCTCCTGCTTGCTTCTTCCTATTCACAGTCCAGAAATCACGCTCCTTTGCTCCTGCAGGAAGCAGCATGAGTGGGGGTTCCTGATGACAGTGGAGAAGTCTGTTCTTACCCCTCACAATACCCTGTTCATTGGGGGGGGGTCTTCTTTTCAACCTCAGTCAGGCCCAGCCTTCTCCTCTTCGTCTTTGGGGCAAGCAGTTCACATGTCCCTCACCTCACATTTGTTACAGCTCGAGATGCTATATCTTTTTTTGGGGGATGTGGGCTTCCTAGGAAGCTGTCATTCCCATGAGTCTGGCTCATATGCATTCCCCTTTGGTGGTTAGACAGAGACCAGACCATTTTTTTGTGGACTCATCTTTAGTGAGTTGGGGTTTGACTCCCAGGAGATTTCCAGTCTCAGTTTGATCAAGGAGTCTTATTTCCATATCCCCATTCTTGAGTATTTGGTGGTACACTGAGCTTTGTCTCACTTCTCTCCTCTCCTGCAGAAGCAGGGAGGGTTGTGGTACATTCCAACATCTCTACGGTGGTCACTTGTATCACAGAGCCAGGGGGTACCAATTCCAGGTCTTTGTGCTTTCAGATCCTGAATATCCTTTCTGAGCCCACAGCCACCATATTGTGGTCTTAGCTTGCCTTTTTCTTGGCTCCCTGAATCTAGTGGTGGATCAATTATCTCTTTCCAACAAAATTCTCTTCACAGAGTGGTTCCTTGATCCACAGGTCTTTAGGTGGGTGTGTTCTCAGCTGGGGACACCTCATATATGCCTTTGTCACCCACTGGAACTCCAACCTTCCTTCCCTTTGGTCTCTCATTCCTCACCTGATAACCTAACCCTGTCAAGATTGGAGGAGGTAGTGTGAAAACATCTGGATGAATAATGTCCGACTGATGTCAACAGAATAGGGACCAAGATAGAGGTAAGGGTAGGGAGGTTATACAAGTAAAGGTTGGAGCAGTTGTAACAATGGTTATGCCAGCCAAGACAGAGCCACCAGTAGGACGAGACCCAGAGGGGTTTTATATAAGGATAGAACTTTGAAGAGGAGTCGTTTAGGAGGATAAGTATATATGTGAGGGTTTTCATGCATGGCTTTTGTCAGGACTGACTGCACATTTTGCATCTTCCCTTTCCCAATCCATTAGACTTTCTTCCATGTCCATTTACCACAGGCAATAGTATACCCTCCATATCTGGTCTCTTTGACATGTGTTCCTTCCTTCCTACCTTTCCTCATCTTTCCCTGTTCTTCACCTGGTTGGTAGTTTGACGAAGGCTTTTACACTTCGACTGTGTCTAGCTTTAGGCTAGCTTTGTTGAACAATTTCCATTTCTCCAGTTTTCTTCTGGTTTTGTCTTCCCCTGTAATTTTCCACCCTTTTCCACTCCTTTTGAGTTGTGTCCTCCATGTTCCGTGATATGTCTGATTGGAATTTCAGTGTAGTCCTTTATGCCTTTCCCGCCCCTTCCTTTGAACCTTTGTTTTTATGTTCCATCTAGCCTTCTCTCCCTCCAGACCTATTTCCTTTTCCTCCTTGCTTGCAGATGTCATAAATCAGATATTTCTGCCTTTAATGTTACCTGCTTTCTTTACCATTCCTCTTATGTTATACTATATCCCTATCTCCCTCACACCTATGCCACCCATGAAGGTTGTTTGGCTTTTTACATCCATTTCCTTAACTTCCATCTCCCAATCCATTTATTTCCTGGAACCCTTCCATTTCCCATCATGTTAAATGGTTGGGTTATTCAACTTGTTAGGCTAGTGTATTTAGACTCATTTATGGATGGTTGCCATCTCCACAACTTTTCTTCACATCATATTTGTCATATCACCATATCTTTTTCATATTGTCTTTGCCATCTGTTGGAGGAGGTCGTCCAGGTTGGAATGTTGACTACACCCAATACCTTTGTCCCTTATTATATGCCAGATCTGACTGTATCTTTTTCTGATGGATATCATTTCCCTCCCTTGGCAATTCTGCACACGTGTGTTTGCCTTTGATTAGAGTAAGTCTTATCACTTACTTTTATTTCTGTTTTTACTTTCAGCAACATTAGTTTTAACCACTAATAATGAGATTCCACTCTGTGGCAGGTGTTGCTTGGTCAGATATGCTTTGCCTCAAACCTGCACTATTTACTGATTGCACTGTAACGCTCATTGTAGAAATTGGGTGTTTCCGCAAAACCACTGGTGGCATAACCAGTGGTATATCTGTATATGTTTATAGACATCAATAACTTTCGCTCAATGGTGGATTGTCACTCATGGACTTCATGAGTAAAGCAGAAAGGGATTTCTGCCCATCCCTGCCGACCCTTTGATTGAATACATTGGGGTCGGTCTGCTTTTTAAAATTGAGAATTGCAGACACCCATTGCATTTTCTCTGGTGTGACATTCCTATGCACTCCCCACTGTGTTTACTCCACCCCACCCTTTTTTTTTCTTCCAGTGGATCATGGGAATCTTTACTAGTTCTCAGTTGCTGGGGTGGTGGACCATGGATGCTTCCTCCTGAGTAAATTACATTCCCATACTTACTCCTGCTTATATACTCAGTGAGAAGAGGACAAAGATGGTTTCCCTCATTCCATTTCCCCTGGATACTTTTTCCCAGGTGGACAAATGTTGGTTGCAGCAGGTCCAGCCTGTGCAGTATCCTCTTGCTCCTATGGTGGTTTTGGGAGTTTTTCTGGTTTCAGCCAATAACTCACTTCCTCTACGTAACTCCAATTGCTTGACGTATAACACTGTTTACTTACGATTGGGGATAATGAGTATATATAACACAGTCCACATGCCCTAGCCACTGTGTTGATGTTACAATAATTTTTTTTCATCTTCAACTTCCTAATGTTGAGGACAAATTAGGGAACCTTGTCTGGTTGAGGTTGTGAGGTTGCTAATTCTGTTTATATTTCGCAATGGATTGCACCTCTCAGAACAAGTTACACTTGTACACATCCTTTTTTTCTACCTGTATCATATTAATTTCCTACTTCTTGGGCAAAGTGCATACCTGTTCCATAAGTAGTGCAGTACTTCACAAGTGTGCTTCATTTTCATCTTGGAGCACACCCATTCATTCTGGGTGGTCAATTTCCATTTGGTTTTAATTTTGTACACCTCCACTGGTCCCTCCACTTTGCAGTGTGGGATTCTAACTTTGTGTGAGGAGAAGTAGAACCATATTGGAAGTTAACAATTTTCTTACACTGAAAATATATTTCCAATAGGTACTTACCACCTCTCACACCCTTCCTCCCCACTGCTGGTGTTTTTCTTTTGGACCCTGCCAATTCTGAAAAGTGAAAATTGAACAGGAATAGCAGAGGGAGCTAGCTGTGCCAATATAGGTGGTGTAATACTATTGGTGGAGAGTAGTCACGTCATATGTACATGTTCAGAAATATTGCAAAAGTGATGGGTTATATAGACTGGTGTGCTGATTGCCAAAAAATTATTTTAGCAATGCTTAGAGGGCAGAAGAAGACTGAGATAGCTTTGTGTGAATAGAGGTAAGTGCCTATTGTAAATACATTTTCAGTGCTAACTTTTTGGTGATGATAGATTGTCTGTATGAACATTGATTTATTCATTGACAAATAATCATAAAAATTTTTTTTTGTCAAATGAGATCGTCGTTCCTTATGAGTAAAAGACTTTTAACTGCATAAGAATATTACATATATTTTGTCTCTTTTGTTCTTGATAAAAATTTAGCCATAGACAATGTAGTATTGTTGCAACCAGTACAAAATTTGAGCGCTTTAAACTGTTCAGAAATATAGTTGGTTCCAAATGAATAAACAGTCGTATAAATGACTGTTATTGTATATACTGTATGTTGTGTGAGATAAAAAGTGAATGTTCTAAGAAAAACACATAGAAGCTTTTCTTGTGTAATGCACAATTTTTTATTTCTTCTGCTATAGAACCTAGCATTGTGCACAGCCACTCTGCTGTTTATTCTCAGCCAAGATCGATGACAATGGACCTTGATGCTGGTTCACTCTCACTGATGCTGCAGCTTCTGGAGACTGATCCTGAAGAAATTGACCCAGAAATGATATCACAGAGTTCTTCAGAAGATGATGTTCTTATTGGCAGAGTTCAAGTCTCTAAAAACCGTGAGAAGGTCAGACAGCTTTGTGAGCAAATGAAACAGAAAGGGCATGCAAAGCATCTCAGCTTAGACAAAATAAATGTAAGATCTTTTTATCAATACATAAATCCTAAGGACTGTATAATATTTGTTATGAAAACTTCATATATATTAAAAAGAATACTTCTATGACATTGTGTTCCTTTATTTACATGCAGCTATTTAATCTGGTCATCCAAATCATATACCACACATAAGAAATGTTAAAGTGAAAGTATTTTGAATTTTAGGTTTAAATTACTTGAAAATACTTACTAATAAACACAACCAAATATACAGTAAGAAAAACTAATTCAAACTAATATTAATAAATATTATATGTTATGTGCCAGAAAATGGACAAATAAAGAAATCTCTGGGTATTGTATTAAAGAGAAAAAAAAGGAACTGTTAATATGAAACTAGTGTTTTGGTAGCAACATACTGACAAGATGTAATTTAATTATCGAGAGAAATAACATACTATTGAAAATGTATTTTGCATTTAATTTCAAAACAAGTAAATTCTCCTGTGAAAACCTTAAGATAATTGTTGGTTACTACTTTAAAAATTTTGGTTTCATTATTTTGTGAAATATATATTTTGGATGCAAAAAGAATAAGCAAAAGAAAAAAACTGGGAAACTAAAGACTATACATTAAGTTTTTCAGCATTTTTATATTTGAATTAAAAGAATCTATAGATATAATTTGAATGAAATCAAACATAACAGGGTCTAATGTTCATTAAGCTATTATATTTTCAACCCAGTGTATTTAATTAAAGTGAATTTAAATGTATAACATAGAATATTAGGATGACATGATACTGTATAATAAGTACATTTCTGTTGAATTTCTACAGACAGGAAATTTGGCAATGGAAACGCTCCTGAGTTTGACCTCCCGAAAAGCAGGTGAATGGTTTAAGGAGGAAATGAGATCACTTGGTGGTTTGGATCATCTAGTGGACACAGGTATGCAATGTTGAAGTAAAATTAAGTCTTGCATTACAAGTTCTGTGTGTCCCATGTATGGTAACTTGTATAGAAATATAACAGGCTCTGTTGTTTGAATTTTTTTAAGATTGTGGTTAATGAGTTTCAGAAAATTATCAGTTTCATATACACAAACAAAAAAACAACAAAAATTAACAAACATAGTATTGTATATATATATAGATAACCATATGGTAATATTTGATTTCTTATGTAATGTTGATTAACTCTCACAATGGGCTCGATTGATTTGACCTAAATCTTGACCCCCACATTGACCTTTATAGTTTCCATACTATAAATTTGAATGTTTTGTGTATCTTCATGAAGTTTTGCAAGCTTTCAGTAATCCTTAAGTCTTTTATAGACAAAAAAATCAGAATTTTTAATGAAGTATTTTCAATAAAAAGTTTTCCATGAATATATTGTGTCAGTGATTTTTATCTTCAGATTAAATATACTTTTCTGTAGCAGGAAGAATCTAAAATTTCATTTGCGTAATCCCCAAAATCTCCTAAATAAATTTTAAACTTTTTTTTTTGGTAAAACTATATTTTATCTGTTATTTTCTCTGCTCTAACTATACAAGGTTGGTCAATTTAACTGACCTTGTAACCAAGATAAATAGATATGAACTAAATCTATGTTAACCATATTTCTTTTTAGAATGATTTCAAATTGCAACATGAAACTGCATTTGTTTATCCTAAATAGCTTTAAACTTGTGACAGAATACATCTGTTTATTCTTCAGTTTTATTGTTTTATTGCCCTTTGAACCCTGTCTCACTGATATTCCCACCACACAACTTGTGATTACTGTGATCTGCATCATTTAGAATTACTGGTGTTAAGGACATTATTTTAACTCTCTCAACACAGGCTCTGTCAATTTGACTGACCACGTGACTTCTTTGTACTCATTTAAAGTCTTTATAGATTTAATACTTCTAACTTTCAATACAGTCCTTCAGTTAATATTACAAGTCTTTCACGTACAAAAAATCATATTTTTTAGTGAAGTATTTTTAATGAAATAGATTTATCCATGAATATATTGAGTATTTGTTTTTAATAGTCTGTAATTTTCATGTTAAAATTAAAAATACATTCTAGCTCCCCAGCGGCACAGCGGTATGTCTGCGGATTTACAGTATTTACAGTACTGTTATATAGTTCCACTTACAATTCTTCTCAAAACCAATCTGTTATATCTGTCTACTTACAGTTCTTCTCAGAACCAGTCTGTTATATCTGTCCACTAACAATTCTTCACAGAACCGTACTGTTACATCTGTCCAATTACAATTCTTCACACAAATATTATGTTACATCTGTCCACTTACATTTCTTCACAGAACCTACTGCTATATCTGCCCTCTTACAATTCACCACAGAACCATGCTGTTATGATTTCACAATTAACTGAGAAATATCTAGGAACAGAGAAGTAAATGTGTATGTTGTGGATTTCATGTGACTTGCTGATTTTTAATATAACATGCTTAATGTTGTGTACACATGCAAACAATACTAATATCAAAGACGGATTATTAATTTGTTCAATTTTTACAATAAACATTTTTCTAGTTATGTTTTTATGCTTCCTATTGCTGTTACTTAACTAGATACTATTGATTTTTAAAATTCAGCATAAAATGATAAAAACAAGTGTGTTGTACAAAACAATAAAGTGTTTGTTGATTTACCAACTATATGTATATACATATTTTTGTTCTTCCTTAACAATTTGTATATAATTTGTCTTTTGTTGGTTTCATCATCTATTGGTTTTGGTTTATGTGATCATTATTGTTATACAGTACTGAATATTTGCACGTCTTGTAAAGAAAACTTCTTCATGCTTAACATTTTTTTTCTTTTAATAGTAAAAGCCTGTGTGGGATATTTTAGTCCAGAAGATCCATTAGAAGATCCTGAAGATATTCAGCTGGATAGGATAAGAAAAATTGACCGATGTCTCAGAGTCTTAGAGAATGTGAGTAGCTTATATACTTTTGGATATTTTTCCAGTGTGTTCTTGATAAGATATGTTTATCATTGTACATATATAATATTAACTTGAATTAATTAGTTATGCAAATTTATTAATAAAAAATGATTACCTTATTTTTCTTAGCCAAATAGTTACAGCAATCATAACTGTTTTTATTATTTATTTCTTTAATCAATTGATTAAAGGTAGTTGGATGGAAAAAATATTTAGTATGGTGGTAAATATTTGAGTTGATGAATGGTTAGGTGTTGAATTGATGGGTGATAAAGAAATGGATATCTTGGAGGTGGGTTTGTTTATGTTTTACTTTTAGTATTGAGATAGCGCATTCTCATATGGTAAAGAGCCTGTCTTCTATTTGCATTTGAATTCCATGATAAACTACTGTCCAGGATTTTAAAAGGACAACAGCTATGACAGATATCCAGTTAGAGTAAAAATGCCAGGAAGAAAAGAAACGCATGGATATTCTGATAGAATGGTTAATCACTCCATATAATCTTTAAAACATGATGTGAAATGAAAATTTAAATACATCACCCAGGATTGAACTTCCATTGTTTTTAGAAATAAACCTGGTGATGAATTTTCAACAGATGTGGGAATTTTAGAACTATTTGTAATTTTTTTCTTCTTCAACACTGCATAGATAATTGCAGTTTTTAGAAATGCTTAGCCTGGTGTATGCTGAATGATAAATAATAGGTTGAAATGCTACAAACTAATTACATTTAAAAAGCAAGATTCTTCTAAGATAAAAACAAGGTTTTTTTTAAGTAGTTATGAAATTGAATGCATTATTTTTGCAATTAAATATGCTTTAGAAATTTTCAAAAATTAGTATATTTTAATATGGTGATATTTCTCTACTCTTTTAAAGTTGACATAAATTTAATACTTAACTCTGTATATATTGGGTATATCTTCATGAAATTGGCAGTCTTTCAGTTAATATTACAAGTCTTTCACATACAAAAAGTCATATTTCTTAGTGAAGTACTTTTACTAAAACAAAATAAAGTTTTGTCCATGAATGTATTGAGTATTTGTTTTGAATAGTCCATGTGCAAAAGTAATTTTCATGTTGAAATTAAAAATACTTTTCGTTATCTCAAATTTCCTTTGTGTAATCTCTAAAACCTCCTAAATGCATTTCAAACATTATTTGCACTAAATACTTATAGTTTATATGTTATCTTCTCTACCCTAATCTCAAAACTGGTTTGGTCAATTTGACCGACCTTGTAACCACCAAAAAAAAAATTGAAATAAACCTAAATTAACCTTCTTTTCTTTCTAGTATGACTTCAGATTGTAACCTGAAACTGCAATTGTGTATTCTAAGTAGCTCTAAGTTAATAACATTATACATCTATTTATAATTAAATTTTATTGTTTTATTGCCCTTTATATTGCCCATTGAACTGTGTGTAACTGCTATTCGTGACATTATAAATTGTTAATCACTTGAGGAATGTGTAGCTCACGTTACGCTATCAAATTACATTACCAACGAGCTGCTCGCGTGCGTGCTTCGTGAACAATTTTAATTATATTATTATTATTACTTATTTTACCTATTCTAGTCTTAAATAACTGAAAAAGATCCATACTTTCAATTTTAGTTACTTTTATAATAATAAAGAATAAAAAGAAAAACAAGAAATAAAGTACTTACCCAACTACTCAGTTTTT